CAGGGTTGTCAGGGTACAGGGTTTCACTACAAAATACGAACGTGTCTGAACTCCACGTCCAGCAACCCCTCTCAATTTCATACAAACTGCGCATGGAGACAATAATTGTATCTATTCTTCCACAACACAAAGATTTTCATATTTTCAAACGAACAAGATACATTTTGAGCACGTAAATAACTTGCAATAGTTTGCAGAAACAGAAACTAAGGACGCAAATTTATTCGAATGTAATAATTCAGAAAAAATTATCTCCCACTGTGAGAACTTCACAGCGTGTCTCGACCCTGACATCATGAGGGAACAAATTGTTTAAATTATTCGTCCCCCCTACGCTGTTAGAAGCGTCCTCGCTTCATTAGTATAAAGCAAAAAGAAACGACAGCTTACAGAACTGAGATGTCACACGAGCAATCACCTCTGAACTCACTTGGCAAACCTCGAGGCCTTCGCAATAAACTTCACTCAATTGAGTCGCAAAATCAAACTATTGGAAAAACAAACCTTGTAACATGGAAGTATTCCGTGAAAGCAAAATCAAATTGTGAGAATTTGGTTCATTTGGAAGTTCTTAATGGGAACTATCGAGGTCTTGCTGCGTCAACGGGACTTCCAGTTCATCATGCCAGTGAAAGCGAACTCCCAGCCAAAAAAGGCTTTCAAAATCACAATTTTTGTGATTCGAATGAAAATAAAGTACAGACGATGCATCAAAAATTGGCACATGAAGCTTTAGATAAGCTCGACGTAATTAACGTGCGAGCTTCATCGAGTAAATTTAGACTTTGTACGTCTTATTCCTGCCACACGAAGCGGGAACGAGAGCCGCGTGAGACCGTCGAGCATCACGGGTGTCAGTTGGTTAATCCTTTACTGGGCTTACTGGACTTTGACGATAAGAAAAACTATTTAGGACAAGAGGAAAATACATCGAAGCTGTTGGCTGACTTCGACAAGTCCGTTCAGAAGCCACGGCAAGACAACTTCGTAGGTAAGTTACCATATGACCGCTTTAATGTTATATCGTGCGAGACCAAATTCAGAATCGCACTGCCAATACATTATTAAGTAACTATGACATTCAACGCATCAATTGGGTGGTGCAAATGGAAGAAGAAAATTAAATATCTTCATGATTTTATTAAATTTTAATACCATTGAGAGGATGAGATAACATACAATCATACATTGAAAACTATTAACCTTCCAAGTTTTCCGGAATAATGTGGATCTTGGGATGTGGAATAATGTGGGATGGTCTTAACACGTTGACTCCGAAGTGGTACATATGCGTACCACTAAATGTATTTCTCCAGGTCGTAGTGGTACATAATTCAGGTTGCCTAAAATCGGCCAATTCCGAGAAAAAAAAGGCCAAAAAAGGCCGATAACTCTATATATACTAGTTTATTTGTAGGTTATAAAAATTCACTATAAAAATTCCATTTATTTTCTTTTTTCAGTATTTAATATTTAATTAGGAAGTACCCCTATCATAAATTTTAGCCGGCCAACGCAATTGAGAAAAACTAAATCACGGAATTTGTCCGGATTAAGAACATGAAAGTTGCACACACAGCAGCAAAGTACAGAAAAATTCGAATGAACAATAAGCAAACAGCAATAAGAATTTTCACTCACATTTAAGATTACACATAAGGCCGTGCCAGCATGTAAAGATATAGCAGCACACAAAAAAGAGAAACTTTATTAAAATGGCGTTGGACTTCTCGTCTTTTTGTAGGCCATCTTGACCCACATTTGAACGGCTACGAGCAAAAAGTGGGTCGCTATTTGACGCTTAGTACGGAGGGCACGAGCGCAGGCTTGTCATACTTGTGAAAAACCCAATGATTCTATCATAAACTCAACCAGGGGAATTAATTTTATAAAATATATCGTGCAAGTAGCCAATGTCTTTAGCCGCCGTGCAAGAAGCCCCGGGGCCATACTTTTAAAACTCGCTAGGTGAACGTAAGTACTTACGCTCTATTTTCTTGTCTATAATTGGTGGATTTTGATTGAAAGGCCGTCAATGATTGGCTGATGAACTTACGATCTCATAACTTTTTTAGAAAGTATAGGCCCGGGTCTGTAAATCTGTGGACTTATATTACTGTGGCCCTTGTGGAATAGCTAATTATAGCTTATTAGAATAACCAACTCTTGCATCGCTCTCCTATGCAACGCTATCTCTGCTATCATGATACTTTCATCATCAAGTAACTTGTATTCGTAGCAGGTAACGTAAAGCCGTAACATCATCGTCTGATCTACTCCCGACGCTATCATCATCACAATAACTGTTGTTTTAGTAGCAGGGAACGTAAACTCGTCACCATCGTCATTACCTTACCACTGCCGAGAGCTTAGGACTATCAGCTGTGCTACGGTCCTCTTATGGCCAACATATTTAAGGCTCGACGTGAAAATTTCAGGAAAATTCTTCGAACCATAAATCCCATCCTAAGAATTTGAACCATTGGGATCTACAGGGCCCTAGGATAGATACTTATTGCACATTCCACCGGCGAAACTTAAAAACGACTTGCAATTTTTTGCTCAGAAATGCTTGAGTACTTTGTTCGAACAGTGCAAACTCACAGCTCATCTAATTTTTACTTTTTTAATATTTATATTAGAATACGGCTATTTTGAATCAAGTTAGAAAGCTTTTTAAAGTTACAATCTATTTGAAAAAAATTGCATTCCGCACGCAATCAAAGAGATGTGGTAGTGTGCTCAGATGCAAGGTTGAATTAATACATATATTAATTCAACCATGCTCAGATGATTTCGAACAGTTCACTCCAAAGATTTCAACATTAGATAGGCCAAATCGGCGTCAATGTCAGGCGTGGAGTGATGAGAAAATAATATGCGTTTAAAAATTACTTCTTAAAGACAACTCTTCTAAAGAATCCAGTGTTTCCGATGTTACAAATGTACAATGAATTCGTAATTTTATTTTTAAATATTAAAAAAGTAATTTTTAAAATTTTGTAATGTATAGAAAACATTTAAATTTTCAAAATTATTCATTCTGTCAATTGATTTATGCATTCTCTTCAACTTTACGCATGTGTGCAAAATTTCGAATCGATTGGACAGGTAGAAGAGTGTTAAATATCGATTATAAGATTTGTAGCAGACAAACAAACAAACAAACAAGGAGTGAAGTTAAAGAGAAGAGTTGTAATAATGCTATATGATAGAACATACAACAGCCGCTACTGACAAATTAACACACGTGGCCACGCCAGTAGCAACAGCTATCCAAAGCTTCTACATTCACACACTCAATATTTCAGCCATCGGACCTCGCTGGTACAGACTACAGAGCACTGGTCAGCTGCTGCCTGCCGCTGCATCAACTGCATTCGCCAATCGCGGCATCGGCCCCGCTGCCTGCCGCTGCTCAGTGCCTCACCAGCAGCCAAGGTGGAGTGTGTGTGCTAACATTGTATCTCTCTGTTGCGGCGTAGTTTCTTCTTTCTCATGGATATCTTTCGTTCAGGTATGAGTCAAGTCAATAACGGATGTCAAATGCCTAAATGATGTTTTTTCTAAGAAATAAATGACAAAATTATCATTCCATTGCCTATTATTATTAATTTTACTGTAATATTAGATCTGAATCTTGACACTAAGTAGACAGAATTTCGAGTTTTAGTTCAAGTCATTTATTTACACACGGGTCTTGTAGATAAATTTAAAGTGACAGATACACATCAGAATTCTTCAACAAATTAAATTGTAGAAGTATTTTATTTTGATGAAGGCTAATAGTACGGTGTAAGCGTAGAGCAGTTGCTATCGGCTTGAGAAGTTGTCGTCCCTCTGGCAACGCCAGTGTTGCAGAGTCATGCGTGTGTAGGGTAGCACTCTCCCCGTGGCAACACCAGAACATGTTTTTTTGCTAAGTTGTAGCTCCACGGCTCTTATCAGTGACTTGATTAATGATTTTTTATACCTTCTAATTCTATCATCTTACTGCGTATAGATTAAAAAAATTCCTTACACCGCCGTTGGTGTTGAAAAATGGTTCAGAGAAATCGATGACGAAGGTATTAAAAAATTTATGTTGATGTGTATACATACATATAGTTTGTGCGTGTAAACTGTACAGTAGTGCTTCAGACCCTAGTGTTTCAAACGCATAACTTATTTCTGGAGTGCGTCGATATTATGATTAATTCTGAGATAATGAGACTAAATTATAGTACAATGAGGTACATATGTTCTTGCACTCATCTTGTCAGAAAAGTCACGTGGGAATTTATATGACAGATTACGATATAGTTCTAGAGGCACAGCATATATCAGATGAATCAAGCGCGAGCTGTATAATAAACGCTCACACTTATTTATCTTTTTATTTTCATCATCTGTTTATAGCTTAAACGCTTTGACTTCTAAGCTAACTCTCGACTGTCCGCCAATTTTGAAGTTTAGTTAGCGCATCTATTGACTAAAGCGATCTTACGTCAAAGACGGCTCTTTTCACTAAAAACTACGTAATGTTGTTCAGAAATGCATCATATTCTGTTTGAGTTTTATTAAAACTTTACGCTCTCATAAAATTTCACAAACAAAATTAATATTCAATTCCATATGCCTAGTAAAATGTGTGTGATGAAAGACATCAACGTGAGTGCTGTCGCTGCTCAGGGTCAGACGTGTGTTTCACCAGGCGCTGCGCTAGGTTGCTAGGAGGGCGCGGAATGAACTCGCTTACTTGTGTGTTAACATGAAGAGTTAGTTATGATGTCTAGCTCATGTGCTCTTATTTTTTTATGGAATTTTTCATCTATTGCGCAATGTTTACGATTTATTTCATCTTAGCTACGAATCGCTTGCGTGCTAACATGAACATTTTCTTATGATGTCTAGCTCATGTGCTCTTATTTTTTTATGGAATTTTTCATCTATTGCGCAATGTTTACGATATATTACATCTTAGTTGCGAATTTTACAATGAAGTCAAAATATTAGAGGAGCTCACGTCAAACTTACCCATAGATTAATTGTAGACTGGAGATTCTGTGATAGTCGTTGACTTATTGATTGAAGTGTTTAAACTGGTCGAATATTTCGCGATTTTCGCACTAAATAATTAAGAGAACATATCTGAGGAACGCGTAATAAAACACGAATAAATGTACTCGAATACATTTCTAAATGAATCGTTCAATTCCAATCTCGTCACCGAATACTGTGATTTCATTAGTTGCACCTAATGAAATTCAAAAACTTTTAATCCTTGTCCCAATGTCGATATCAATCAAAGCCGGACACGCGAGCTGCTGACACTGAACAGGGAGGCACGTGTCGGTGCTGACACTCGTGCTGCACGTGTATGTTGTGCTGACACTCGTGCTGCACGTGTATGTTGTNTATGTTGCGCTGACACTCGTGCTGCACGTGTCGGTGCTGACACTCGTGCTGCACGTGTATGTTGTGCTGACACTCGTGCTGCACGTGTATGTTGTGCTGACACTCGTGCCGCACGTGTATGTTAGTGCCAGTATATATGTTATTACAATAGTTAGTGTGCAGTGAAGTAACACTGCAGTGTTGTGCATTCACTGCCCCCAATGCACCATCATTATAATCACTTATAATTACAAGTGATTATAATGATGTATAATCATTATATTATCACATTATTATCATTATAATCACTTGTATATCAGTTAGGAAGTATAGGAGTCAGTGCAGAGTGCTTCTGAAGGTATCGGTAAAGCGGCCAGACGACAAAAACTGGATCTACCTGACTCACTATCTCTCATCAAAGTTCAGCATTGCGAATAAATCTGATGTTTGGAGGTCAGACACGCGATGTCAGATTTATAAATTAAATTATCATTAATTCTCACCAAACTTGCGAAGATACCAATTAATGGCAATCAAGCGCGCCATTTTTAAAGTCTCTGAAGGTTTCAAGGGCGTAGAATGTAAAATAAAAATTTTAATAATGAACAAGACGGTTTATCAGGTTCAGGCTCTACGTTGAATTGGGGTGATTATCTAGCCATGATGCTGGTAAGCTGGACATCACGGCAGTAATTATCTAGTCATGATGCTGGTAAGCTGGACATCACGGCAGTAATTATCTAGTCATGATGCTGGTAAGCTGGACATCACGGCAGTAATTATCTAGTCATGATGCTGGTAAGCTGGACATCACGGCAGTAATTATCTAGTCATGATGCTGGTGAGCTGGACATCATGGCAGTAATTATCTAGTCATGATGCTGGT